TACTTCCTGGGAAAGCCTGGTAGACCGGGCCTACCAGGGGAAGCTCTTGGCAACCTCTGAAGGCGCCAATTGCTCCATTCGCAAAAATTTGCATTGACTTGTGAACGGAGCCTTGACCTCCAAATTTGAATTTCCCACCCTTTCCCCCTGCCTTTTTTCATTCGTAGGTTGAGGCTCCGTTTGGAAGTTGATGCCAATTTTTGTGAACAGAGCCGTTCGCAAGTAAAAAAGTTCGCAGGTAGGGAAGTTTGTAAGTCGAGGTCCCACTGTACACAACTCTTGCTCAGAGTAGATATGTAACTTGCTACTTGCAAAGTTCTTGCTGTCGCCAGAAAAACACTGTCCAAACAGTAGTTGTTGTCAAATTTAATTCATCCTTAATCCATCCTTGTCTAATTTCGTATCCTTTGGTTATACTGGACTAGACAATGCTCATGCTGGTTTAGGATGTTGAGGGTTGTGGAGAGCTAGGCTGCTCTAAATTTTCAATGGACTCTTTTCATATTCACTCCTGTGCATGTGTCATGGAACTTCCGGAAGTTGCAGATATGCTTAAGCAAACCGTGTTTCCTGTGGCACCTCTTTACATGTTAAAGTCCTGAATATAGTGAGCCCTACATTCAGCTCACACGTGCTGAGATTGCACTTCAGTACACATCCAGTGCTCTTCTGTTGTTGTCCATATCAGGGAGGCTGTGTAGTGGAGGATGTATTGCTTTTCAGGAATTCTGGATTTTCCATTTTTTATTATTAATAAGAGTGAGCAAGCTCAGATGAATTAAAGTGGAATTCCCCAGAATGCAGTGCTTGAAATCCACTCATCTAACCTATTTGGATCCTATTTAATTTAGCAGACAACGTTTCCTTTGCTTTTAGTCACATTCAACAGAGTTGTCACTTCATCTTGAGAAATCCATGTGAAAATTATTATAGACATTGCTGTTCTTAACTGCACACATTATCAAGTTCTTTGTTATTGCCTCTGTGCCTCTCATGTCTGAGACTGATTAGCAGAGGATGTCCACAGATATGTCCTGTGGGCTTGAGTGGAGGTGGAACTGTCACCAAAATGATACTGAGCTGGAGAAAGTTCCATGAGAACTTCAAACAAATACACATCCCATTTGTGTGAGTGCACAAATGACCTCTCAAAGAGCCATATTTAAGCAACCTTTTTTTTTTAAATTTCCTGGTTGCATTTTTTAAAAAAATTGATGATAGACAAATCTGTAAAGTGCCTCCTGATTCACTAGGTCAAGTGTGGTATTTAAGTCTCAATGAATATGTTTTTCAGCTATGAGGAGACAGTGCATGTTGCTGTGTCATGTTTAATAACTAGAATAGATTCTTGAGGTGTTGAAGTAACCACATAGTATTGAATTGCAGTAACAAATTGACAGGGCTTCACCCTCCAACAAATAATAGGCCAGGCAAAGCCCAGGTAATTAGGTGTTGATTGTCACCGTTAGTAATGCACTTGAAAAGGAGTAGTGATTGCTTTTGGGTGGTGTGTATAGAACTCCGTTTGGGGTGGAATGGAGAGGGTTTTGCTTGGTGTTGAAAAAGGTCATTTGTGTAATCTGATTATCCAAATCCTCAGCCAGAGGCCATTTCCTAGTGGGTGGCTGTACATTTAGAAACTATGCTAAGAATTTAATAAGTTGGAGTTTTCTTCCTAAAAGCAAGGGGGTAATCTTCATCAGGATAGGGAGCAGGAAGTACAACCTTCTTTCTTTAGACCTCATCTGCTCTGATCTTGTGATCAGTGCTTTTCTCTCC